CCAGCACCTTGTTGAATCTATGCCACGAAGAATTGAGGCAGTTCTGAAGGCAAAAGGGGGTCCAACCCGTTACTAGCATGATGTACCTAATAAAGTGGCCGGTGAGTGTATTTGTGATCTGTTTTATTGTTTTTAGTTTTTTCTCTCTCTCTCTATTAAGCAATTTGTGATGTTTGTGTCTGTGAAAGTTGCTACATAAATAAAGTTTACTTATTTACTTTACTTAGGAAAGTACATAAAAAAGTAAACACAGTTTCCTGAATCGACATATAAGGTTGGCATTATTTTATTTTTCTCCTTTAGTTGCACTTATTATAAATAATGGGATCATTTGCATTTTCTCTAAAAGTGATTTGTGTTTCCATTTAAGGGATTCACACTGTATAAATGTAATTATTTCACATAATAGGCAATATTAAATTGTACTATTAGTTAACACATCCCTCTACCTGATTTTATTGCTAAAACTTGTTTTAAACTTTTTAAACTGATATACAACTAAATAAGATCAAAATGTAAATAAGTCAGACTTGTAGTAAGGAGGTGTGTGCACTCAGGAAAAACTAACAAGATGACTTTCTGTATTATTGTTTGTATTCTGTTGAGAATCATGGACTTTGCTGGTTCCACCAAAGATGTTATCTCGTCACATTTTGAATGCTGCTTGGAGTTTTTATCCTAAAAAAATAAAAGAACATGAAAACATACAAAGCTAAAGCCTTTTTCTGAGATCTAAATATCTAGTGTAGGTTAGAGAAGCCTCAGGAACAGATTAAACTGAACAGAAAGCTCAATGTCTCTTTTCTCTGGACAGAAGGGACGTCTCTGTGCTGTCATTCACAGCACATAAATCACTGCTGCTCAGCACAGAAATCACTGATGAGACACGACGGTTACAGCTTTCAATCAGTCCATGATTTACCCACTGAGAACGCTAAAACCTACAGAGAATCATTTTTTTCCTTCTATTGCTGAAGCAGGAATGTTTGTTTATTTATTCAACACACTTGGCAGCTTTAAAAGTTTAAAATGAGACTTTGATTCCATCTGCTGGACAGGCTGCATGCACGTCTGGCCAAAATATTCAAACATAACAAAACAGGGTTATATGGACCAAGCAGCTGAGCGTAGGTCACATGGTGGGGAGGGGAGGAGTCGACATAAAGGAAGAAGAGTTACCTTGGAACGTAGATTGTGAGCTGGTGTTGGCAGCCGAGTGTTGGGAGGCAGTGGGGGGTTGTGAGGGGGGGAATGACGGTTGGACTTGAGAGGAGAGGTGGAAGTTAGAGGAACTAAAAGTGCTTACGGGTCCCTGAACAAAGTCGCTAAACTCGCCACTGTCCTCGTCGAAACCTTTGCCGGTGGAGGACGAGGGCTGAACGTGGGCCTGTGAGGAGAGGCTGAAGCTGGAGGAAGAGGAGGAGGTGGGTGGAGGAAAGGAGGCGGGGGCATCTAAAGGCCCCTGAAAGTCACTAAACTCGTCATTGTCCTCGGACAAAGCAGAGGGGAGGGAATGAGTGGTGACAGACAGGTGTGATGGCGATGAGTCTGCAAAAATGAAGAAATAGTGCTGACGATGATGATGATGAAGGCACAGAGCATGATTATGGAGAGCAAGCTAACCATTGCTCTACGTGGCAGGATGAGCTTTGTAAACAATAAACTCCATGTGTAAAACAAACTGAAAAATAAGTCATTACTGAGAGGAAAACAAAAACACAAGCTTCAAATTATTTTACAAATTTAATGATTCAAGCCATTAAAGTACATTTTTTAGTAGGAATCAGGCCTGAGAATTGAAACAGGAAGCTTCAAATACTGGTTTTCAGACTAAAAACTTTAACCACAAATGACTGTCAAACTAGGTTTGATAAACTCATGCCTAAATTTATTTAAATACACAGAAATGTGTGCAAAAGTAAAGATTCAGAATAAATATAAAGTTATGAAGAATAACAGAATGCAGTTTATGTTGTTTCTTCGTGCTTTCAGATAGAAAATCCACATTTTGACTAATGTCCACAGCAGAAATTAAATTAAATTAAAACGCACAGGAAACATGGGTTTAGAGCTCAGTAAGTTGAGGTAAATTTACCTGGCTTCTTGCTCTGAGACGACGGAGTCGGGTGCATTTTGGCATCTCTGCTAAACCCGTCCAAGTTCCCTTTGATCGCCTCCAAGGCGTCGTCCCGACTCTTTTCCCCCGTCTGAGTGCAGCGCGTCAGAAAAACCAAGAGTTCAGAGATTAGAGCCAAACAGCGGCAGGGACAAACACAGTCTGTAAAGAGACTCACCTTGGGTTTGACGCTGCTCAGCAGCCTCAGCTTTTGTTTCTGCTCTTCAAACTGTCTTCTTTTCCTGTCCTCCTCCAGCATCTTCTGCTGCTGCTCCAAACGTTTTCTAAAAAGACAAAAATAAATAAAATATACTGAAAGGCCAACATTATATCAAGTATTTTTAAAGAGAGGATTAGAAAAAAGTTAAAGAAGAGAAGGACAAAAGATAAGTGCTTCTTACCACCCTGCACAACACTAAGTGATAAATTAATAAAAAGTGTGAAAAAACGTGGGTTTTTACACTGCAAACAATGGAAAGGTCTGTAAATTTATAAAATTGGAGGTAATCTGGAGATTAAAGTGATTCAGTAAAGTTTTGTCTCTGACAAACTAAATCACAGCAGCTGTGCAGCTGCAGACAGAGTCATTAGTTTTCTGCTGTTTAATCGTGAAACAGTAGACAAATTAACCTGATGGGACTTTATAAAAAAAAAAAAGAAACTTATCAAACTGAAGGACTCTGAGGGGGGATGTGAATCACCACGTATGAAAATAAATCCCATTACAACAAATTAATTATGATAAAAAGATAAAAATGTCTTACTGGTGCTCCTCAGCCATCTGTTTCTGCATGTCAGCCGTGTACTGGGGTCCAGCGGGTCTCATGCCCATGAACTGTGGCTGACTCAAGAACTGCATCCCGGGGGTCTGCATCCCAATCGCCATGCCGCCCTGTTACACCGACCCCCAGCACATCGAAAATAAAATACAGAGAAACACAGCTGAGAAAACTGATTAGTATTCCAACTGTAAGAGCCGCTCTGCTTGATATTAAATGGTCTCACTGAAAACACAAACGGATGTTAACGGCCTAAAGCCTTGTTAAAACCCACCAGGCTGCAATAAAGTCTTTAAAGCAGTTTTGAGACGACGTTAATGTGGGATAAATGAGCACGACAGAGGATTTAAATCCACCAGAAAAGCATCTGTTTCAGCTTTATGGTTTACATTTCTCCTGAAGAAAGTGCAGAGCGTGAGGCTGACCTGCATGGGGATGGCACCTGGGGCCATTTGTCCCCCGAAGTTCATTCCCATCATGCCTTGCATGTTGGGCTGCATGACTGGAACCATCGGGAAGCCTTGCTGCGGCTGTTGTTGCTGAATGGGCACCATTCCTGCAGAAACGCACAAAACAGCTAAAATATAAAAAAAAGAGTGAAGTTTAAATCAAAGCACGCAGCGTGAACGATAACAGAGGTCAAGTGTTTGCTTCCAGAGCCGCGACATGATTCAATTATCAGTTTTTATGGTGACTATTGTGACAGCCTGAAGCAAAACAAGATGTGTGTGCGCGTGTGTGTGTGACAGCAGTGAACTCCTGCCAGAGCCTCCTGATGAGTCACGGCGTTAAAGCTCAACTGGGCTGAAAAAAAAAAAGTCTTGTTTTGGAGACAGCTAGCGTTCTGATCCGTCTGACTGAAACGACATCGCTAACAGGAGCACGTAACGACCCCCGAGAGACGCCCGTCACGGCGGCGCGTTAACGGTTTATCTGTGTTACTGAAGAGTCAGGGGCCTCGATGAGACGAGCGCTCGGATAAGTGATGATGTTTCTGAGCAGAGAGGAAGAAAAGTTTAAACTCCAGTGAGCTGATCTCTTCTATCGCTATATCACATTCCTAATGACTCGAGGTAATAAAACACATTATTCACCCACCCGTTTGTTTTTATTCTACTTTCTGTATGATCAGTTCTGTCGTACAAACGCTTGACTTGAGATGTGTAAATGCTGAGTCAGCATTCACACTATCGTTTTCCTGGGGTTTTTTTGTTATTGTTGTTTTTGATATTTAATCTGTACCCAATTAATGATGCTTTTGTTTCCTTTAGAAATCCTTTCTCTACTTTTAGCATTTATTTTACATTTACTTGTGTTTTACTACTTTTTAGCTAGTTGTTAGTTAATGCTAATTTATAGCTAACCTTTTATAATTTCAGGCTATATTAGCTTTGTCTTTGAAATGTAGTTCAGCATATTTTTGTCTTAATGTAATTTCTGTTTTGCAGATACTGTTTTAAAGGAGACATGTGGTTTTAAATCCTTCTTTTTCACATTTTAAATCATTCAGTTGGGGTCTATATAAAGTGGAACTGCAATGGTTTGTCTGAATTCTCTTTATTTTAACTCCACAAGCCCCTCATTCACCCCTTTTCTGAGGTGTGTCTCAGATCAACTCGTTTCGATGCTGTCTCTTTAAACGCAAACAAGGTGCTTCACACCCCACGCCACTCTAGCTTAATAAAGGGGGTTACAGCTATCTAGCAGCACAGAAATTATATATTTACTAATGAATTAAAAGATGTCAACAAGGGAAGACTTGTCCATCCAGCCTTACAAGGAGCCAGAGTCTGACCCAGAGCCAGAGGAGAATGAAGACCACCTAATTGTAGCAGGTAAGTCCAGACCTTATTAGATAGTTTGGTCGCAAATTCTGTGACGTAATTATTCAAAAAAGGTCAAAGAAAATAGAGAAAGTTGAATGGACTGAAAAATCAGACCCAAACAATATAAAATATCTACGAAGCACCGTGAGAAATATAATTCAACTTTTCTGCACACCTAAAGACTCCACAACAAAAAGTATTTAATGGCTAAAAAAAGTGGATTTTGCGATACGTCCCCGTTAACATCAAAGACAGTTTGACTCACCTTGTGGAGGTCCCAAGCCCCCTCCAACAGGATACATGAAGCTGAAAGAATCCAGAAAAACAAACATAAATTATGAAAATCCAAGCAACTTTACAGTAAATGTCAGTTTCAGAGCTACACCACAAATGCTAAACTACAGGAGCCGAGTGAACGTTAATGTGGAGCCATGTTGACCTTTACAGGCTCCTTGTTCATGAATAAATACAAACTTTCTTTTTTATGAGTCTTCTGTTGGGTTTAAATTCAACTTCAAATGACACGTATTAACATAAATGACTCATTACAGCAGTTCTTTTAGAACCACTTCTTTATTTACTATTATCCCTATTCATCTACAAACTACAGCCTTATATTCAAATACATGATTTTAAGGTTAAATATTGTGCATGTACTGTTACTGATTAGTTTGGTTTAGACAAAATGTTACATACAAAAGCATTTAAATCTAAACAACAGTAATATTTACAGAACATGACTGTGAGCGAGTGCAGCAGATGACAGCTAAGTGACCCGCAGGCGTATTGGACTCTTTCGTTGGGTTGTGACTGAGAAACAAGCCTTTAGAAATAATCATCAGAAATCTCTACAAGTCAGCCAAGCCCCCTCCCCACGACCGCCTGTGCCAACCCACACAAGCTCCCAGCTATTTGTTGAAGAACTTATTAGAAATCAGTTCCTTCGGGCTGGAAGCAGTGATGCAGAGACAAAATAAAGACGGAGCCGTGGAGGGTCTCCAATCAAAACGACCCACAGCTCCGTTTAATCATCCCTAATGCAACAGGCGAGTGACGGATCAGAGAGACAACCGTGTCGGCTCACTTTCACTAATGATTCAGTAACAAACACTAGTTTTAACTCTAAACACTGATTATGTTCTTTAAATAAGTTCCGGTGTATCCCAGTGGACTAAACAGCTAAAAGAAAAAAAATGTATAGGTCCTCTGGACGGGTTCTTCTCTAATGAAACGTTTCGTCTCTCCTTCAAGAGACTTCTTCAGTCTGAGAGTTTCAGGCAAAATTCAGGCTTTTAAGCCCTGCCTCCATGTGACTGATACTCACATCACATGGCTGTCGTTGACACCTAATTAACACCTATTGTTAACAGGGGGTGGAGTGATACTGGCAATAGCCGCGCTGTAGGAGGGGGACAACTGAAAACGGAGGCCTCCACCTCTGTTTAATGATGGACGGTCTTTCTTCACAAAAATGGCTTCTTTTACTCCTCTCTCAAACCAACGTTCCTCTCTATCAAGAATGAGCACATCCTCATCTCTGAAAGAGTGACCGCTGGCCTGTAAATGAGTGAAAACTGCAGAGTTCTGGCCATTAGATGTAGCTCGTCTGTGTTGGGACATTCTTTTGAACAGTGGYTGCTTTGTTTCCCCGATGTTCTCATTCTTGATAGAGAGGAACGTTGGTTTGAGAGAGGAGTAAAAGAAGCCATTTTTGTGAAGAAAGACCGTCCATCATTAAACAGAGGTGGAGGCCTCCGTTTTCAGTCGTCCCCCTCCTACAGTGCTGCTATTGCCAGTATCACTCCACCCCCTGTTAACAATAGGTGTTAATTAGGTGTCAACGATAGCCATGTGATGTGAGTATCAGTCACATGGAGGCAGGGCTTAAAAGCCAGAATTTTGTCTGAAACTCTCAGACTGAAGAAGTCTCTTGGAGGAGAGACGAAACGTTTCATTAGAGAAGAACCCGTCCAGAGGACCTATACAATTTTTTTCTTTTTGATTTTTTACCTGGATTATTGAGATGCATCAGGACTAAATAGCTAGTTCTATTATAAGCAATGTTTAACTTTTAACTTCTATAATTATTTGTTTTGTATTTTTTTGCTCAAGTTCAGAAGAAATAAAACTAAATATAGAAACCAACTTCACGGCCATTTAAAAATAAATAAATTATCCGTGTTTGAAAAACAAAAAGAAATTTAATGATTAACATTTCTACTTGTCGTGTCTTGTGAATTTGTTTCTTCATATCTGCACACAGTAATTGAGAAACTGTTTATAAAGAGATAGTTTAACAATTATGTAGAGAAGTAGATAAAGATTATACCACACCCATCAAACTGACAGTGAATTAAAAAGGAACGTTAAAACCCCTTTAAAACAACACCAAAATCATGTGATTATTTCAAAAATAATGGAAGTTATGGATGTTTCTGTTCGGTAAATTTATTTTCTACTGTAATCCAGAGCTGACTCAATAAGGTCTTTGTGACCATTTCACCTTGTTTTGTTTTTCTATGTATCGCCAAGAAATACTCAGAAATGATCCATCTTCTGCTTTTGTGGCAGCATTATGTATCTTAAAAACAAAATCACACAACAAAAATCCAGCAAAAGTAACAGAAAAAATATAAAATAATGTTAAATGGCTCATGTCTACAAATGGCAATATCAAATCAACTTGATGTGTCTTGGAAATCCATAAGAAACAACCAATGACAGCACACGAAAGGTGTCAAGTGATGAAGACGAGTGTCAACACGTGCAATAGGGTTGGGCAATATTGGCAAAAAAAATAATCACGATTAATTGTGGCATTTAGCCGATAATGATTAATTTGACGATTAATGCCCTGGAGTCACTGAACACCCTTATGTCCTGGTCACATGACCAATTTAGTGGGAAAGACTTGCTCTTAGTACAAATCTGTTCCAAATTGTGTCAAAATTAGGGCTGCCACGATTAATCGATTAATCGACGACTAATCGATTATTAAAATAATCGATGACTAATTTAATAATCGATTAATCGTTTTCTTTTTTTTGTTGTTCTTGACTTTGTTTTTCTCTCCAAACTGCTTTGACACCTTCCACTGCCACATCTGCCTTTCTGTCCTTGACACACATGCACAGTAG